TTTTTTTTCTTTTTAATCTGTGTGTTTGTTTTGCTCTGTTAGAATTGTAATACAATGGCTGCTGATGACACAATAAATAAATAATCCAGTTCAAAGCAGGTACTGTGGATGACCTGCCTTGATATTCTGGGTTATATGGCTGTGTGGACTCAGGGCCCTGAGCTGTCAGCAGCAACTGTTTCTGGAGTATAATATGAGGGTTGAATGAAAAGTAATGCCTCCATTTTGGGCTTGGATGGGAATATTTTAATCTATATAAATAAAAATGTAATGTTCGTTTGTGGTATTCACAGAACTCAAAAAGCACTGGGCGAATTGACACCAAATTTGGACACAAGACACCTAACAACCCAATGTATGTCCTTCACTCAAAAATTGATTTTGTCATTTGGGAGTTGTAGTTGCTGGGATTTATAGTTCACCTACAATCAAAGAGCATTCTGAACCCCACCCCCACCATAATAATTTAACCAATTTCCCCTTCCCTCCCCAAGTCACAGATGTTTACAGACTATCTTCCAGAGTTGTGTATCAAAATAATTGTGTGAAACATTGAGCATTCAGAAAGCACAACACAATTATTTATTAATAACTTTGAAACAGTTTTGAATTGGTTAGTTTGGTGTGAATGTAGAACTAACAAAAAACCAGGAAGAGACTCATCTTTGCCAAAACACAACTTGTGGTGCCCATCCTTTGTTTGTAACAGAACTGTACAATACTGAAGATTTTGAATTAACTGATAAGGGAAGCTGTGTACATGGTGGTCAGTGTGGTAGATCTCTGTTGCGGGTGGAGGAGCCAGAGAAGAATGTGCCCGAAAAATTGCATTCTAGGTGTATTAAATTCCCAGCTGAAGTGAAATCTGAATGAGGATACAGCAGTTGGTCTTTGAATATTACCGACATCTTTCTATTTTTGCTGTCTCCTCATGATGTGGCCAAGTACTTCAACTTTGTCTCTCGTCTCCTTCCCTCCAGTGAGCAGTCGGGCTTTATTTCCTGGAGGATGGACTGGTTGGATCTTCTTGCAGTCCAAGGCACTCTCAGCACTTTCCTCCACACCACAGTTCAAAAGCATCGATCTTCCTTCGCTCAGCCTTCCCTAAGGTCCAGCTCTCACATCCGTAGTGACTACAGGGAATACCATGGCTTTGACTAGGCGGGTCTTTGTTGCCAGTCTGATGTCTCTACTCTTCACTATTTTATCGAGACTGGACATTGCTCTCCTCCCAAGAAGTAAGCGTCTTCTGATTTCCTGGCCACAGTCTGCATCTGCAGTCATCTTTGCGCCTAGAAATACAAAGTCTGTCACGGCCTTTACAAGTGATATGTACCTAGAATCTTCTATCTATATAAATAAAAATGTAATGTTCGTTTGTGGGATTAACAGAACTCAAAAACCAGTGGGCGAATTGACACCAGATTTGGACACAAGATACCTAACAACCCAATGTTTGTCCTTCACTCAAAATTTTTTGATTCTGTCATTTGGTAGTTGTAGTTTTTGGGTTTTATAGTTCACCTACAATCAAAGAGCATTCTGAACTCCACTAATGATGGAATTGAACCAAAGGTGACACACAGGACTCCCATGACCAACAGAAAACACTAGAAGGGTTTGGTGGGCATTGACCTTGAGAGGACTGAAGACCGACAGGTCGCAGGTTCGAATCCGGGGAGAGGCGGATGAGCGCCCTCTATCAGCTCCAGCTCCTCATGCGGGGACATGAGAGAAGCCTCCCACAAGGATGATAAAAACATCAAAATCATCCAGGCGTCCCCTGGGCAACGTCCTTGCAGACGCCAATTCTCTCACACCAGGAAGGTTGCTCCTGACACACCTACATCCAGAGAGCACTGTGGACTCAAACAATGATGGATCTGAACCAAACTTGGCACAAGCACTCAATACGCCCAAATATGAACACAGATGGAGTTTGGGGAAAATAGACCTTGACATTTGGGAGTTGTAGTCACTGGGATTCACAGTTCACCTACAATCTAAGAGCATTCTGAACCCCACGAACAACAGATTTGGGGCAAACTTCCTGCACACAACCCCCATGACAACAGAAAATACTTAAGGCCATCCAAACCAACTCCCTTCATCAGGGCAAGAAAAGGTAATCAAAGTCCTGACAAAGAGAGAGCCATCAAGCCATAGATATAGATAGATAGATATGATTCACACACACAGAGATATAGTATCATAAATTTGAAAGGGGCCCCTAAAGAAGGACAGTTATATTTGCATGTTTCAAAGTGGGCAAACCTGACACTCTTGGCATCAACACTGACAAAGAAACAGCAAGAAATACTGTTAACCCACAAGCATAAAGAAATTACATATATTAGAAACCAACACTTTCTCATTACTTTATTTTCCAGATCACAGACTGAGCCACAGCAACGCGTGGCAGGGGACAGCTAGTAAGTTATATGTACCTACAATCTTCTATATAAATAAAAATGTAATGTTCGTTTGTGGAATTAACAAAACTCAAAAACCACTGGACGAATTGAGACCAAATTTGGACACAAGACACCTAACAACCCAATGTATGGCCTTCACTCAAAAAAATTGTGTGTGTTGCAGTAGTCTATCCTTGATGTAACAAGAGCATGGCCAAGTCAGACTTCCCAAGGTACGGGTGCAACAAGTTTTAATTGTGCAAAAGCACCTCTGGCCACTGCCGAGTCCTGGAATTCCAGGCTCAACAATGAATCCAGGAAAACTCCCAAGCTACAAACCTTGGGCCTGAGGCTGTTAGGAATGGTGGGAGTCCGGAGTCCAAAACATCTAGCGGGAGGGCCCAAGTTTGCATTGAGCTACAGGTAACTATAAACAGCCTGTTAGCACTGAATGCTGTGTCATGGCTGCTAAACTTGAATTTTGACTTTCTTTTCCAGTTGAATGTCCTCTATTTCTGTTCTTTGGACAGAATATTGTTCCTTCTGTTGCCAAAACAGAACCCAAGTACTGGAGAGCAAGCTGAGTGAGCAAGGTTTGGTGAGTGGCAAAGGGCCCTTTCACACAGCCCTATATCCCAGAATATAGGGCAAAAAATCCCACAATATCTGCTTTGAACTGGGTTAACATGGGATTTACTGGCTTGATATTCTGGGATATAGGGCTGTGTTGAAGGGCCATCAGTCTACACTGTAATATATTCCAGGTCAAAGTAGAAAATGTGGGAATTTATTCAGCTGTGTGGAAGGGGCCTGAGTCTACACTGACATATAATCCGGTTCAAAGCAGATAATCTGTGTTTTATTCAGCAGTGTAGAAGGGCCCGTAGATGCTAAAAGTAACCCAATAAGGTCTGGGCATATTCATTGGTTAGCTGTAAATTGATTGTTAATAGAGGGCCCTTCCACACAGCCTTTTAAACCAGTATCTGATCCCAGATTATCTGCTTTAAGATTAAATATATGAGTCCCCACTGCCAGATAACCTGGGATAAACAGATAATCTGGGATCAGATCCTGGGATAAAGGGGCAGTGTGGAAGGGCCCAGAGTTAGGGAGAAAATAGCTAATGGTAATAGGAAGCATCTGATAGATTTAATCTCCTTCCCCACTGCCATCCTCTTCTCCTTTTGTGTCTTGTCCTATTTGTGGTAGATTGCCAGGAAAATTTTGTAAATTGCTCTGAGACACTGGGGGCCCTTCCACACACCCAAGTAACCCATAATATCAAGGCAGAAGATCCCACAACATCTGCTTTGAACTGGGTTATCTGAGTCCACACTGCCATATATTCTAGTTTAAAGCAGATAATGGAATGTTATTCAGCTGTGTGAAAGGGGCCTTTGTGGTTGAAGAAGAGGATATAAATACTGGATGAATAGACTTAGATAAACAAAGAGATCCATAGCATGACAAATGGCCAACTAACTGGAATAGCCAGCAGAAACTAAGTTCTTGTGGGTTTTTTCGGGCTATAGAGCCATGTTCTAGAGGCATTTCTCCTGACGTTTCGCCTGCATCTATGGCAAGCATCCTCAGAGGTAGCCAGCAGAAATATTGTGCCTTTTCATTAGGTCCCAGTGTTTGAATTGTCCCTGTAGCACCCACAAACACACATCACACAGCCAGCAACCACAATGACAAGCCACACACGCGGAGTATGCCTTCAACCTCAAACCACTTTCAACTCAT